TGCTGACCTTGAGTTTCACAGCCCAATTCTTAACCATTACGCTACCAGAGATCTAGAGCTCCTTAATTAGTAATTAACCAGTGAGCTCTACTTTGATGGAGGAGTTGTGACGTTTGAAGAAAGGTTGCATAGAATGCAAAATGCAAGATGATTCCCAAGGATTTGAGTGATTTAAAAGATATACGAAAGTCAGCATGCTCAAAAATGTCTTGAGGATGAGTTACCTGTCATTTCTCTTGCTGACATCATGTGGGTTGATATGCTTTGTCTCTTTGTCACACCTCTCCAGTTCCCTTTCATTACGACATGAAAAGAAACGCTTAAAGGAGCAGGGTGGGAGAGTCAACTGGGCATCATTGAGAAATAAAAGGAACCTTCAAATTAAAATTGTTCTCTAAGCTCAAGTGGAGTCCTGGTGTGGCGCTTAAGATTAAACACTCAACTGCAAGGTCAGTGGTTCAAACTCACCAGCTGCTCCTTGAAAACCCTATACAGGGTCATTATGGGTCAGATCACCGCCATAACTTTCTGAGACCTACTTTTTAAGTGCCATCAAATTGGTTCCAGCTCCTAATGTTTCCAAGGAACAAATGGCTCGTGAGCTAGTACTGCCCACCTTGTGGTTCAAACTGAATTTGCAGTCCAGTGTATCAATGCACAATGCCACACCGGGACTACATTGTTGTTGTTAAGTGCCATCAAGTCAATTCTACTCACAGCAACCCTGAATAAGGTTTCCGAGGAGCAGCTGGTGAGTTTGAACCACCAACCTTGTGGTTCAAACCAGTCTTGTGGTTGAGTGTTTATCCTACAGTGCCACAGTAGCAGCTAATATAGTGAAAAGAACCCAGCCCAGTCTTTGGAGTCAGTTTGAATTGGATCTGTTTCTTGCTGGCATTACCTTGAGCCAAGTTATTTAACTTCTCTGAGCTTCAGTTTCACTACGTAAAATAACTATTGAGGGCGTTTCCCAGACCAAGCAGCTCAGGTAGGGCTCCCGGGAAAAGGGGCGGAATCGCACATAAGAAACCTCTGTCTAGCAGACAGACAGCCTTTGAACAAACGTAAGATCTTATATTTCAACATTCTGAACTCTTTTTTAAAAGATCAAATTGCTGAGGAATTACAGGCATTTTAAGCTTTTGCCTGCCTGCACGTGGCTCCTGCTTCCGTGCCCACACCTTTGAGTGCCTCTGCCCCCTGTAGACCTTGGAATGCAGGGCTAGAGCAACCCCACTTAGAAGGCTGCATTTCCAGAGAAAAGGAAGCATAAACTAGCAAAGCCGAACAAATAGAGAGGGATATCGGCGCGGATATCAGGAAATTCGGGGTACCCACGGTACAGAGAGACTGAGAGAGGCATTTTTTACGTCATCAGATACGGACAATACCTCCCTACAGCCACTAACCCCAGCCATCTACTGCCCTGGCCTAGACCAACCGTCTGCCAAGCTGCCAAGGCTCAGGAACGCCCAAGGCACAGGCCCGCCCACTGAGGCCAAGGCCCTCCCAAGGCCCAGAGACTCCCACTGAGGCCAAGGCCTGCCCTGAGGCCCAACCCACCCACAGACTGGTCACAAAGGCCCAGGCCCACCCAAGGCCAAAATCGCCTACACAGCCCAGTCGCCGCCGAGGTCCAGGGACCCCAAGGCCCAACCCGCCACGTAGCCAGGTTGCTGAGGCCCAGGGCCCCTGAGGCCCAATCCACCGCGTAGCCTGGTCATCAAGGTCATCAAGGCCCAGTGCCCCTGAGACCCAACCTGCCCTCAGCCCGGTCTCCAAAGCACAGGCCCCCCGAGGCCCAATCCGCCCAACCCGCCCGCTGAGACCCAAACCGCCCGATGCCCAGCTGCTGATACCCAGGCCCCCGGAGGCCCTACCGCCCACTCGAGGCCCAAACCACCCTCCCAAGGCCCAACCCTCCTGCAGCCTGGTTGCTGACGCCCAGGCCCCCATAGGCCCAAACCGCCTGCCTTAGGCTCAACCCACCCGCCCGAGGCCCAAACAACCCACCGCCAAGGCCCAGGCCCAACTGAGGCCCCAAAAAAGTTACTCTGAGCTAAGCAGTGAGGAAAGTGGAAAGGGAAGACCACATCCTGATCACACTTTCCTGGAGGTAATCAGAAAACAT